TGTGTGTCTCTGTGCGTGTGTGTCTGTGTGGGTGTCTGTGTGTGTGTGTGTGTGTGTCTGTGTGTGTGTCTTTGTCTGTGTGTGTGTCTGCGTGTGTGTGTCTGTGTCTGTGTGTGTGTATGTCTGTGTGTGTGTCTTTGTCTGTGTGTGTGTGTCTGTGTGTGTCTTTGTCTGTGTGTGTGTCTGTGTGTGTGTCTGTGTGGGTGTCTGTGTGTGTGTCTGTGTGTGTGTCTGTGTGTGTGTCTGTGTGTCTGTGTGTGTCTGTGTCTGTGTGTGTGTGTCTGTGTGTGTCTGTGTGTGTCTCTGTGTGTGTCTGTGTGTGTGTTTGTCTGTGTGTGTCTGTGTGTGTGTGTGTGTGTGTGTGCTGTGTGTGTCTGTGTGTGTCTGTGTGTGTGTGTGTGTGTGTGTGTGTGTGTGTGTGTGTGTGTGTGTGTGTGTGTGTGTGTGTGTGTGTGTGTGTGTGTGTGTGTGTGTGTGTGTGTGTGTGTGTGTGTGTGTGTGTGTGTGTGTGTGTGTGTGTGTGTGTGTGTTTGTGTTGTGTGTGTGTGTGTGTGTGTGTGTGTGTGTGTGTGTGTGTGTGTGTGTGTGTGTGTGTGTGTGTGTGTGTGTGTGTGTGTGTGTGTGTGTGTGTGTGTGTGTGTGTGTGTGTGTGTGTGTGTGTGTGTGTGTGTGTGTGTGTGTGTGTGTGTGTGTGTGTGTGTGTGTGTGTGTGTGTGTGTGTGTGTGTGTGTGTGTGTGTGTGTGTGTGTGTGTGTGTGTGTGTGTGTGTGTGTGTGTGTGTGTGTGTGTGTGTGTGTGTGTGTGTGTGTGTGTGTGTGTGTGTGTGTGTGTGTGTGTGTGTGTGTGTGTGTGTGTGTGTGTGTGTGTGTGTGTGTGTGTGTGTGTGTGTGTGTGTGTGTGTGTGTGTGTGTGTGTGTGTGTGTGTGTGTGTGCGCGTGAATTGGTTTTACAGCTGGTGCAGGGGCTACACGCTGTTATTTGCACACACATGCTAGTTCATGTCAGGAAAAGTGAACGCCCCTCAAAGCGCTTCACTTCTGCCAAATGCCAGTTTGCCAAGCTGGCAAAGCATGCGATTGCCACTTCAAATAAGTTCCCTGAACTGCGAGGGTGCAATGGCGCTTAAAAGAAGAAGAAGAAGAAAAACAAGATGCGCGCGGCACTGTAGCGCAACTTTTCTGCTCCGGCCACGCCCCTCTGTAGCTGGCACTTGGTGTGCTCACCACCCGCAGCTGGCGTCCAGTAACTATGGGCCTAGGTCACCGGCCAGCCTGGAGCATTTCACCAAGCCTTTCTCTGCAGACGAATTGGCAAGCCGCCACGCTCGCAAACCCTGTGCAACGTGGCTGCTCCCCCATGTGCCTGCTGCCTAGAACAGAATCAGCAGAGCTGTCTGTCAAATCTGATAACCCTTCCAAACAGCTTCTTGGTCTGTCGCTCGGACAGCAACTGGCGAGCTCATGCGTTCGGATCGAGACAGCCCTAAGCACACTCAACTGCAAGCAAGACCTGGTAAGGCGATCTGGCCCAAAGCAAGCCTGTGCAGCCTCCAAAAGTGGCGTGTATCGCTTACCCACCAGCTTGCAGTAACTAATCTGGACAAAAAACCTAGAATCTAGCCCGCCAGGCTAGAGAATTGTTCCACAGGCGTCCTTAAAGGATTCCAAAATCCCCCCTGCTTCTCTAAACCAGCTCACATCTGGGTGACTGACTGGCCCCAAAATGCATATCCTTTAAGGGACCCCTGACCAGCTAAGTTGATGCTGAAACTCCGGGCAGGAGAGCATCGGACTCGCTGGGGTCGAATGAAGCCCCAGCTTCTAAAGCCAGCAGTCTGATATGACTGCCAGGCAACCCACTACCGAACTACGTCATCTTGACGAGCAAAACACGTCCAGAATGAAAGCCGTTGACTTTCAGACCCGACTTGTGCCTGCCAGGGATGAAACATTGCCCCATGGCTGGCTGGGCCAAAACCCCTACACACAGGAAGTTCAACTTGTTCTTCGCCTCAAGTTGAGTATCCCCCACGAGTTGCAAGAACTTGGCTTTTGGCCCAGAATGTTGAGCCTTGGAATGGCCACCCTCCGCTACACCCGATGCTGGTGCTGGCCGGGATAGCAATTCTTGGTCAGTGCTTGGATCGCGGTCATCCTCGGAACACCGAAACCCGAGAACATCACTACAAATCGACCGGAAAGACCCCCCCACACAAGGATTTCCCGAAAAATGAGTTTCGCCAATGAGTGCTTTGTGGGCTCCACCTTGCAGAGTTATCAAGATCCTGGTATCAAAGGGATCAAGCCTTGGGAACGAAGAAGGAGACTTACCGCACCGATTTATGGTGAGGGGACTATCCCCGATTCGAAGCTTCGACCCGAGTTTCGGATTCGAGTGCTGATCTCACTGAGCAGGTGACAGGGTCGCCACTTCAAAGGCATCCTGCTGCAGCTCCTAGGGTGCGGAGTTTCAACCTCTTGCCTGAACATCTTGAAACAGCTAGCTCTGAATTTTAGATTGGACACGTGTTGGTAGATGTTCTCACGCAGGCACTCAGCCACTCAAGCTGAGTGGCTGAGAGGCTAAGTGGCTGAGTGGCTGAGTGGCTGAGTGGCTGAGTGGCTGAGTCGCTGAGTGGCTGAGTGGCTGGGTGGCTGAGTGACTGATGGGCCACTCGATCATCCTCTCATCCGAATTTCAGCGAATTTTAGTAGAGAACCATCTCACAAATGGCTGGTAAATACCTGGTGGACATGAATCCCCACCTAAATGACGTCCACCAAAGGGCCCCTAGTTGAGATTCACGCCCACCAGTTCTTTTGTCACGGTAGCCAAACGAAAGCATTGCGTTTTGTAGAAACGTGGGAGCCGCCTCCAAGGTGGAGCGGGTCGCAGCGGAAAGCGACCTGAGAGCTTTCCCGAGCGGCCGAAAACCTCTGGAGCGGTTCTCCGGTGGCACCGATCGGTCCACCAACTGTGAAGAATTCGAAGGGCGACTCGCAATGCGCCGGTTCCTATGCCTACTCCCGATACAAGCCGACCCAAAACAGTTCTGAGCAAATGCATTCAAAAACCCACAAAGGCCAAACAAGGCACTGCAATGAAATCTTGAGGAGTATCAGCCGGTAGCCCGGAAGCAACGGCAGACCACAATATTATATTGCGACGCTGGTTGCCAACAATGAGCAACCCTGAACCCTGATAAACGTTCCTCCCTCTCTCTCTCTCTCTCTCTCTCTGAAATGGTCCTGTATTGCATCTGTTGAGCATGTCCGCAGATTCAAGTATGAGCAGTAGGAGCAGTTGTGTGCTGTACTGGAAGTCAAGCCAATGACTGCTTTAGGGACGCCAGTGAGGTGTCCTTTAAATTCCCTCAATTTTTCTCCCAAGTCTCTCTCTGGGGTCAGTTTGATAGATGCGCTCCACTGGTTTCATTTTAAATCTGCTGTTTTGGCTGAGGGTGCCCTTTTTGAGGTCGCGGTTGTTTGCACTGGGGCCGACGCTCCAGTAATGTCAGCACTTCGTCCCGGTCCAAGTCGCACCTGGGGAGTCCTGAGCCATTCCAAAAGGCAAGACTACAACAGCCCAAAATTTGATAGTTGTGTGTGTGTGTGTCTGTGTGTCTGTGTCTGTGTGCGTGCATGCGTACGTGTGCGTGCGTCTGTGCGTGCGTGCGGGCGGGCGGGTGCGCAGGTGGGCGTGCACGTGCTTGTGGAGTGCACTGATGGCGCATCCTGAAGAGGATAGTGCATTGGCGAAAGATGTCTACACTTTCTCGGTGCCGAAACTCCGCTTTTCTGATTCTTTGGCTTGTGGCGTTTGCTTTTTCGATCACAGATGCCTCAGCATTCATAATCGAGTATGTGTGGGCGGTGTGCTCTTGGCGATTTGTTTTAATGGGGTTGAGCCAGGACTCTGTGGAGTTCGAGGAAACGCATACTTCATGGGTGGTTTGTCAACGTTCGTTGGATTTCATCCATCACTGGTGCAGGTGTCAACAGGGCGGAGCCTTGGTATCCTGTCCAAAGGCGCCTTGGGCCGTGCCGCTACCCATTCCGTCTCCTTTTGGGAACGTCCAACTGAGTCTCATTTTAAAGATCTGGCATTATAGATGTCCACGTTTTTAACAAGCCTCATTTGTGCCTGTGCCTTACTCTTAACTCACTCCTGTCCCTGCCTGAATCATCGGTGCTTTGACCTCGAAAGTGCGCGAGATGGAAAGAAATCCAAAGAGTAAAGAGTCAGCTCCTGCTCCAAACACAAATATCTTAGGTGGATAAGCCGCAACAACCAATCTTACGCGCAAGGAGAAGTTGATGCAAGCGGATGCAAATACAGTTTGGGGGGGGATACGGCTGTCAAATAGGGGAACCCTCAAAATGGCTGAAGCCTCAAAACAAGACACACCCATGAAGCCTGAGGTCTTCCACAAAAGGAACTCCGATTACAGTGAATATCGCTGAACACCCCGCGCCCTGCCTGGCAGGGAAGCTGCCAGCGCCTGCCTCAAGAGTCTCTGCCAATCGGAGCTCTCAACCTGGCCGGTGATCTCAATCTGGCCCCAAAGCTCGTCACAGGCTCCGAAGTCTTTGGCGAATTATTTGGTACCCCCAACATGGGCCCGTATTCCTTTGGCTTCTAACCGCCAAAACAAAAACAGACAACCGCTTTGGGATTCCTTTGGGTTTCCTTTGGGATTCCTTTTCAACCTCGAGCGTGAGTACGTATGGCAGCTGACCTGAGTTGACTGGTCGGACAAAGTAGCTTGCCAGCTCAGCAGCTAAGTCGCAAAAAGGTTGTGCAAAAGCTGGGCGAAGGCTGGTGTCCCTCTAAAGCAAGGTGAAGAGGGCACCGAGCCTCTAAAACCACCCAAAACCCATGACGTCTTCCCCAGCTGCCTGAAAGGGCTGCACTTCCTCACTGGGCAGCATCCGCGCCTGAAAGAACTGCTTGGGCGCTGGCCCGGTTTCGCGGACGAGCTGAGGCTTGGGCAACCACCAAAAAGAGGCACACCAAGCCATTGGCCACTCGACGTGGCTGCATCCTGCCGAAAGCCCCAGAGGTGACCCGAAATTTCGGTTCTACGGGTTCCTTTCCCCAAAGCATGCCCCAAAGAACCCTGAAAGGGCTTTGTCTCATGACAGGATCCCATTTGAGGTGTCCTTTCCCACATCACCTGTTTGGCGCAATCCATTATGTGTCCCTTGTGGGGCTGTTCGATGCAAATCATCCCACGGGCTGAAATCTGAGGAGAAGTCTGCAGAGTGCGCGGGGAGATCTGCAGCAGGAAGTTGGACGTGTGCTGGCCTCGGGAAGTGGTGTCTACTTGCCTTAGGGGGAAAAAAACACGATTCGCTTTTGGAACCTTGACCAAACACGGACGAAAACCGAAAACACAAAAGGCTGGGTAGTGCACCACACGCATGAAATTCGCCACCAGTGGTGTTGCTTTTCTTGCCACAGGGGACATATACCCGCGCGCTTGGCCCCACACTTTGCTGGCAAACCGACCGCAGCTTTTCCCTCAGCTCGGCCGCTCGGATATTGCCCGCAGATCTGCGGGCAACAGAAAGGTTGGCAAAGCTGAGATGCACCAGTTCTTGAGGGAGCATTGCCACATTAATGTTGACCCCGGATTAAAAAGCGCCTGTTTATTAATATGGGGTGGTCCCCTCCAAAAGTAATAAATCCCCACTTTTTAAACCGGGGACACCCCCATATTGATTAACTGGGGTTGATTAATCCGGAGTCAACATTACATACTTTACCGAGACTGGATTCACCATGCTGGTATCTCTGCCCAAACCTTGCAGTACATTCGGTGTAGTTGGTGCACGAGCCCATTGGAGTCGCTTGGCCTGGTATCTCATTCATCCAAACCCAAAGCGAGCACCGCACGAAAATATGGTCTTGCTGTAGATGTTCGTGCCTGCGGGACACGACAAGAAGCCAGCAACTTCTGTATGGGGAATACCGTTGAAAAGCACCCGAATTTGGGCGGGCGTTTGAAGGAGGTTTCCTGGTGCTCTGGGCCATACTGCGAGCAAAACTGGAAGCCCCGGTTCCAGAAAGAACAACAAAAGGAAACAAGCTCACGAGTCAAACTCTAAAACTATAACCCATCTTCATGATACTTTTTTGCACTTTCATACCAAGGTTGAGGGAAGGTTGTAATGTGAACCTGTCTGTGGTTTGAAGAGTTAAAATATTTGTGAGAAGCAAACATTTAGCAGCCCCAAAGGGTCGTAGGTTCGATTCTCCCCTATTCTTCCATAATTGTGGCCAGAGGGTCTGACTTGTCTAAGTTCCCACAACGGCCACGGCAAGAAGTGGATTGTCAACAGCCTTCTTTTTGATCACACATAAGGTGAAAGCTTGACTTTTGACAGGTTGATGTTCTCCAAAATGTCTGGTCGAACTAACTTGCCAATATTGCAGTCCCTGCCCCCAACGTGCCGTCAGGTTCTAGGCTCACTTCAGCCCCACACAAAACAGCTCCTGACTGCACCCTTGCTTCTGCTTGCTAGCTTTCGTCCACCCCCTCCTGCTCAAGTGATAGGGACACCCTCAATAATGGCAGACCCAGATCCTTCAATGAAATAATGTCCAACTAGGCGTTTAATCATCATACTCATGTAGGGTGGGGTCAATGTCCACTTTGGAACGTGAAGGTCGTGCGTTTTAGGTAGGCCATCTACCAGGACTTTGGTTAGTCTAATGCTAAGTTCCCCATTCCCCACAGCCATTTGCATAAGATGTGTTTCACCGTTCTTCGGAATTGTCACTATCAAAGTCACCCTGGAAGTGGTAGGATCAAGGGAAACCACCCCAGTTGCTGAGTTTGACAAGCTCCAGAAACAGTCAAAATAATGACACCAGAGAACAGGACGTCCCTAAAGATCCCTTGGTACTTTGTGAGGATGTACTTTAACTGCTTGTTGGCTTCTTTAGAACATTCTCAGACCAAGGGACCCTCAATGGCTATTGCACTAGGGAGAAAGTAGATGGCAGAGTTGCCTTGTGGCGAAATGACACCACAATGCCGGACTTGTGACCTCCTTTGGGCTATTTGGGGGCCAGCGGAGACTAGCGGCCCAAAACCAGCTATATTCAGGTGTGGGGTCAAAGGGCTTGTTTTGGGTGTGAGATTCCCGCTTTTGGTGGAATCAAAAGGGCAACTAGTACAGGAACTCTGGATCTGTTCGAGGGAGCAAAGCTGATGCCTGCTGTAGATACTCCAACAACAAGAGCGCAACAAGCCATGCAACACATTTATTAAGTAGTTGCTGACCCTTCCCTTGCCAGCCATCCTTTGCACTCACAAACGAATCAGGTTATGCAAGGCAAGGCGTCAGTAATCAGCCCAGCTTCACACGTTGGAAACTCTCATGGTGGCATCTCGCTTGGTTCCGTTTTTGGCGGTTCCGTTTTTGGCGTGTGCGCCTGTCATGTTTTCCGGGCCAGAGTTTGGGAACACGGCCGTGCTCTACGCGTACGACCGTGCTTCCTTTAGGTTAGGGCGCCCACACGTCGTTGTTGTATGTTTTGGACGCACCGAAAGCTGAGTCCCGGGCGCTTGCAGACCACCTCGATCCAGGAGGCCAGGCAGGGGACATGCAGCTCGTAGTCCAGCGCGCACAAGAGCTGCTGTACCTGACGGGGTTAGAAATGGGTATGGGTCAAAACCCCGTACCCCCAGTGAACATCCCAATCCCCACTAAAATAGACTAAACTGGGTGGTGCACTTACCACAAAATGGTACCATTGTTGTTGAACCATGGCCAAATGGGTATGGGTCAAAAATGGGGTAACCCCCAAATGGAACCCAGGTAGGACTAAAACCTGCGGTCGCGTGGTGGCTTGATTTTGACCCATACCCAAATAGCGACGAACTGTTGGCAGTTCCAGTTGGTAGGGCGAACCCTCCAAAGTGACAAACTTTTTGAGAGGGTGGCCGATGTTTCTCACTGAAGCTGGCCTGCTGTTAGACCGACTCGCTAAGATGGGTCTGGCCCTCTCTAAAGGATGGGGTCCAACTGTTTGATAGCTGGAACGGAAAGGGTTTCTGCCCAAAAGATGAAAAGGTTTGTTCATTCGTCACTGGAGTTCCCCTTGCGGATGGCGGTTTTTCCCTGGGGTATAGAGCTTCATCTATCCATTGCATGGTAGTTGCACGGTGAGTTCCAAAAAAGACTGCCATTATTTTAGGTCCAACAAGGGGAAAAATGCGGGCCCCTTTCAACAGTGCCAAGTTCCGATCTCGATGGTGAAGACTCAATGACAACTTCGTGCGAAACAGGTTCGCACTTTCGATTCTGGCCCCCATAAAGAATCAGTCCCATTTCTAGGCAGTTTGGGGTTCCAAAAGCTCAGGCGCAGCCGAACAACGTCCCTGGAAACAAAAGGGGGGCAACAGGTAGGGCTTCCTTTCGAGAAAAGCACTTGAAGGGGGCCCCAGAAAAACAACTGCACATGAATCTGAAGTGAAAAGAGGCGCTTTGGTGGACCTCAACAAAACATTCAAGTCCCCACCTCCCCTGCAAGTGAAGATGGAACCCAAGATATCCTGCTGGGGTAGGTTCCAGTGGTTCCAGGTGAACCTGCAGAAACCATTTGAAGCGCATGGGTTCCAAACATTCAAATTCGAATCGCCGAGTGAGCTAGATTCGGGCCTGCCTGCTTCCAGATGTCCTCCTTCTCAACCAGAACCTGGCCAACTGCGTTCCCAAGAGAGGAATGGCCTCGTCACAGCCTCATCCCCGAAAACGTGCAGTAAACTCGCCAGATGTTTGTTTCGTGGAACGTCCAGAGAACAAATTGTTGTTTTGGGAATTTTGGAGAAAGGCTAGTTCTGCAGCTAGTTCTGCAGCTAGTTCTGCAGCTAGTTCTGCAACTAGTTCTGGGCAGATGCATGGCAGGCATCAGACCCAACACACTGTTGACAAACCCCCCAGCTCCGGCCACTCAGCTTCCCTGATTTGGATTGGTAGAGGTGGGGCGAATAACATACTATGGATGGACGAAATCCTGCATCATGGCAAACCATGTTCGCTGGTATTTACAGGGGAATGAATTCCAGGCTTTCTTAGGTGGTGCAGGATTTTGTACATCCACAGTATGGAAAAAATCATTCGTTCCGTCTGGTGTTCGTGGTTGATTTGTTGTGTTTTCATCCCCCCATAAGCAGCATGCAAACCCCATTGACTTTTGGTTATGCCAAAATGCTCACAAAGGGTAATATCAAGATGTGAGTGTGTATGTAGATTTGTTTGTGGGTACCCTTTTCAGGTTAGTTTCAAGGGAACCCAAAAGCAACACCACCAGTTTCGGTGTCCTTCTATTTTGGCATGTACCCTTTACTATCCCCGGACTCAAAACCTGACTTTTTGTGCCAAGATGGCTACGGGTGCCATACGCTTTACCCGCTTTGCCCAAGTCCCAAAGACCGGCCTGAGGCTCTTCTCCGGGCCTGAGAGGTGAGACGATCCTCTTCTGAACTTCTGAAGGAACCAGGGTGACACCAAAGTCGACTCGAACTGGGGACAAATTTCTTGGTACCTCCAATTTCACGGTTAAGCCAGAGCGGGAATGACGGTTCAGTTAGCCCCAGAAGAAGTCACGAGTCACCAATGGCTGATTTTGCTCAAGGAAAGTGGGCTACCAAGAAAGAGACACAATAAGGCCATCGGGGGACTTTGCGTATGCGCCGTTGCAACAGTTTGTCCCCAAAAATGACATCGCTTGACACATCCAAGAGACTTTGGGTCCCCATATTCAGATTCCCAAATCAAGCTTCCAGATCTGGAACGCTGATAGCTCCGGAGCCAAGGCAAAGCTGAGCGCCCCGCTGTTCAACTTTGAGGAGGTACTCAGCAAACCTATCGACGCATACGAGTCCCACATCTGTGCCCCCAATTCACGTCCTCAGATTTCGCGGCATAGCAGTTGCCTTTGCGCCGGCATCAAAATAGGCCGGGATGTCAAGTTTACTGACAAAGACTTTGCAGATGGGTGAATGAGGGTAAGGGTGGCATGCAAAGCATGTAAGTGTGCTTCCATCTGCACGTGTGTCTCTCTGCACGTGCATGTGTCTGTGTTCTGTTTGTGCATCGCTGCATTTGCGTACTCATGAGAAGATGTGTGTCCGCACAAGTAAAGCTGCGCATGCCTGCATACGGCTGTATGTGCGCATATGCACGGGTGCTGGTACTAAAAACTGCACTCATGTGCGCATGCCCCAATGCCTGATGTATATGGGTATGTGCATGCCTCTATGCGCCTCTCTGCCAATGCACATGTTTACGCACACACATCACAAGTGCACACAGGCATGAATGCACAGCGATGCATGTCTTGAACCCAAGGATGTGCTCAACTGGCAGTTGACGGCACAGAACAGTTTCTTTCCTGATTGCAGTGGTGATGCTGATGATGCGTGCAATGCTGATGATGCTGATGATGATGTTGTTTTGGGAATCGGCATGATGCTGTTGATGCTGTTGATGCTCGACGCTGAAGCTTTGCCGAGCTTTTGCCCGAGCTCTGGGCCTGGCTGCACAGTATGTGAGGTCCGTCGCCCGGGGCGCGTCCCAACTCTGCTCGTCCTACGGTGCGAAGCTGCAGCTGGTCTCATGGCGCGATTTTCCACTACTTCCACTATTCGAATCAAGCAGAAAGTGAGCAAATTTCGAGCAAACGAACCAAAGCCATGAAGCCTGTGGCCACAAAGCCTCAGAACTCTGAACTCCGAACGCCTTGCGCAGGACCAGAATCAGAGCCGTGGCCGCCACAGCTTGCCCTTTGCACGCCTAAGGGGCGGACCAACAGAACAGACCCACACAGCAATTTCTCAGCTCGGAACGTTCGCGCTCATCTGCTTGACCTCAGTTTGGCGATGAAAGATGGATTATGCACTCGGAGCAAAATACTCCGTGTGTGTGTGTGTGATGTGTGATGTGTGATGTGTGATGTGTGATGTGTGATGTGTGATGTGTGATGTGTGATGTGTGATGTGTGATGTGTGATGTGTGATGTGTGATGTGTGATGTGTGATGTGTGATGTGTGATGTGTGATGTGTGATGTGTGATGTGTGTGTGTGTGTGGTGTGTGATGTGTGTGATGATGTGTGATGATGTGTGATGATGTGTGATGTGTGATGTGTGATGTGTGATGTGTGATGTGTGATGTGTGATGTGTGTGATGATGTGTGATGTGGTGTGATGATGTGTGATGATGTGTGATGATGTGTGATGATGTGTGATGATGTGTGATGATGTGTGATGATGTGTGATGATGTGTGATGATGTGTGATGTGTGTGATGATGTGTGATGTGTGATGTGTGTGTGATGTGTGTGTGTGTGTGTGTGTGTGTGTGTGTGTGTGTGTGTGTGTGTGTGTGTGTGTGTGTGTGTGTGTGTGTGTGTGTGTGTGTGTGTGTGTGTGTGTGTGTGTGTGTGTGTGTGTGTGTGTGTGTGTGTGTGTGTGTGTGTGTGTGTGTGTGTGTGTGTGTGTGTGTGTGTGTGTGTGTGTGTGTGTGTGTGTGTGTGCCCAACAAATTCCACAGGCGCTGTGGTTTGAGGAAGCCACAAATCGTTCATCCCGACAAGCTAGGTCAAACAAGCGTACTGCCACCTTGCACATCAGCGCATGCTGCTGCGCGCTGTGCGGATTGTCACTCTCATGGCCTGCCAGCCGTAGATAGAGAGGCCACTGATGCGCGCGAGGTTCTGCATAAAGTGGTGCGTGGCCTCACTCGTGACATCCACCAACAACAAAAAACAAGGCTGGCGAGGCCTCCTGATGACGCTTCTCCAGCCTCACGAGTGGATGTTTCTGGGGCATGGCTCGCCCCATTCAGTGGCAGTCCTGGGTCGGTCTTGCATATCTTGCCACACCTGGCAGTTTGTGGCGGAACTCGCGTTGAGAGTTCCGAGCCATTTGAAAACCTGGCCTTGGCGTCCTGGGTCATCCGACCTCCAAGCACAAACTACGCATCTCTGCACGCAAAGTAAGCCAACCAACTTGCGCTCTGCTTTTGTACTGGCACTAAACCACATGCTTGCGTCCCATGTTTATATGAGCCGGCATCCAAACAAAGGCCACATGCCGGAATGCATTTTACCGACCAGACCTGACCCATCCAACTCCATCGGAAATGAATGGCCCCATGTATGCGACCGTAGTCACTTGCCTGGGTAGGGAGACATCTCCACTTTGATAGCCCCAAAAGACTGTCAAAATCATGACCCTAGTACGCACATTGAGAATGGGAGAAGGGTTGCAGCCCAAAGCACTGGGAGAGGCTTGAAGCTGGAAGCCTTGAGGGACAAAAGCTTCAGCCGAGGAGCAGCAGACCAAAGCCACAAACACGGACACACTTTGGACACAAGACTAACGACCATCCTGCCGAACACTCGAGGACAAAGGAGACAAGGTTGCGAAAACGAGGGATGAAGACTAGGCGACGTCCAAGCAAATGCTTTCTGAATTGCCCAAAATCTCAGGGCAAAAGTGCGGAACAAAGCTGCTGGATTACGTCAAGCAGGTCGCGGCTATCTGCCACCAGAAGTTTGACATTGCCCATCGCACGAGGAGTGAATGGCCATTCATCCCCCGGGTCGAAGGCAACTTTCGGAATGGTCCTTTCAAGAAACTGATCTTGAGAGGAAGCGAGAAAGCGAGATTCTTTGTCCAAACTGACGAGGCTTTGCTGGTGACAACATTTTCGTCTGTGAAGGGGGATCTGGAGTGTAGATCTCAGCCGAACCCAAGCAGGAAACCAAAACACTTCGGGGAAAGAAAACATGCTCCTGCTAGTAGCTCCCCCTCCAACAAGCAATTTGTTTATGGAACAAACCAGCACGGAACGAACCGAAAGCGAGGGGCTTGGCATGCCCAACCAGCATCTCCAGCATCCCCATTTGCAACACACAACAAAAAACTTGGCAAAAATTGCATAAAGCCATATCTAGCATCCCCGACATCAACTCGGCATCAGCTCAGCATCAGCTGATTTGCCCCCACCCTCCACCCCCCCCCCAACGCGGATAAGTCAAGGTCCTAAGGACCCACATGTCTTTTTGCTCCTTCCCTCGCCAAAAAAGTCCCTGACCAATTCCTCAGGCCTTGAAGCAGCTCTTCGGATACGCCCTCGCGAAACAGGGCGTCTTTGGTGTCCTGGAAAAGCTGAATTGTGAAACAAAACCGCGGACACCATGGCTGGATGGCGTAACACCATGGGTGGAGTGACACCATGGATGGAGTGACACCATGGGTGTCAACTCTGTTGGTCACGGAGCATTCATGTTCAACCACTTTGGACCATCTCAGGTGCTTCCCCATCAAAAAAAAGCGGAAAATTCGGCGCGCTGATCCAGCCTCATCATCTTCTGCAGGGACAATTTCTTTTCTGACCCAGCCAGCATCAAATGCCACCTCCGAGGCTGGTCCAAGTGCGACAGTGATCAGCACAAAACGAAGCACAAGGAAGCCGAGGTGCAAAACAGGGGTCTTCTCTTATCCACCTGAACATTAATTGCCCCTAAAAGTTGCACTGTACTTTCCTCCTGGCGGAAACATGCCTTGAGTACATTCCTCCGGGCCTGGGCGGCCGGATTTTGAGTGGCTGGGCCTGAGCGGGTGACAAAATGGGTTCCAATCTGCTGCAAAAACCACCGCCCACCTGCCTCCGCACATCGATCGCTTTGGATGCCGTGTGCTAAGTGCTGAGCGCTGGCTTCAAGCCAGAACGCTACAGGTTGAGATGGATTGCAACCCCTAAGAATCATCTGCAGCTCTTCAAGGGCTCACAACATGCTGCCAAAGTCGAAAGCCGCACACCAAACTGCCGGTTTTGGTTTTGCTCCTTCCGAAGGACTCCTTCCTGACAAGCAAAGAAAGGCATTCAAACGGACGCCTTTGGCCCTGTCAGAACACTTCGCAGTGATAGCGTTGCTGCTGCTGCATCACTCGCCGCATCCCATTCCAAGTACCGCCAGCAATGGATTCCAGCAGCTCGTTCACGCTGCGCTCCAAATCCTTGAGGCCGCAGATGTACAGGTGGGTGTTGGGCAACTGCAGCAGCTGCCACAACTCATCACCATGTTCCATCATCCTGGTTTGCACATACTCCTTCTCACCTTGACGACTAGTCGCGTAGCTATAGCGGAAGCGGTCTGGAAACTGAGCCTTGTATGCTTGATGCTCGTCGTCATATAGAAGAGACGACCCATGGGGCACTCCCAGAAAAAGCCATGCAAGACCAGTGAATTTGCTACCATCGGTTCTTCCATCATGAAACAACCATCTGAGATGCGCACGGAATGGAGCTACACCAGTTCCGGTTGCGACCATGATCAGCGTGCTGTTCAAATCATCCGGCAACAGCATGTCCTTCCCAGTCGGCCCTGTTATTGTGATCTTGTCCCCAGCTTTTGCATCACAAAGATAGTTTGAGCACACGCCGCGCAACCCGCCTTCCCCACCCGCGACCCGCTTGACGCAGAGAGACAGCGTCTTGCCTCGCCCGTCGTCCCCCAGTCGAGACGAGGCAATCGAATACAGCCGTAACTTTGCCTCACACGCCCCTTTGGGACTATACAGGGAGAAAAGTAGATGGCACTATTCCCTTGCTGGGAGGTTTGGAGGTCCAAAAACGCATGCGACTGGCCGCTTCCATTGGAGTAATAAAACGATAGTGGGTATAAAGCCAACAGGTGGGGCCAGGTGGCAAACGCATTTAATAATCCTTGCGGAGGATGATAAGCCCAACAAAGAGGAGCTACAAAAACACCTGCAGAACAAAGGGGCTTTGGACAACGTAGGCGTCGTGCTCGAGGGCGTTGCCATCACACCAATGGACTGCCCTTCCAAGAACGGAACCTGCAAGGAACAACTATCGCATGTGAGTGTTTGCCAACGACATGGGAACGTGCGTGAGTCCCTTGGTCTTGGGAATCAAAAAAATGTGCGAGCTACCCGTAATTTTGTGAAAGGTCGGCTTACAATCTCCAAGGAAACACGTGAAAAATGAAACTTAATTTCTATTTGCAATTCATTGTGAAGGGCACGCATGACCACAACTATCAAAACACGCCTTGCCGTGATGACTCAGTGTAATGTGGCAGGTCTCCCAGTCAGCCGCGCCATTTGGCCGCGTCAGTGTATGAGGTTGAGCTTGATTTGGAACCACTGTTGCTTGAAAAGGTACCTGCAAGTTGCACCACACAACGCTTGAAGAAAATTGAGGTCACATAAACGCGAGTCTCTTTGACAACACAGCCCAATCCAAAAGCATGCAATGCCAAAGCAGTGGCAAAAATGGCCAGTGCCCATGCAACGGCCACAAGGGCCGTGCCAAATGCACAAAAGCCGAGCTGCCTTTGGGCTGAATAGATTCCAGGGTATTCTTCGACCCGAATACATTCGCCAGCCATTCTCCACAGCAAACGTGGTGGGCGGCGGCAGCACCTGTATCACAACCAAATAGCCAAAGGCAACCGTCGCCTTTGTCCAATCGGGCCAGCCAGCACCAGCCGTGAAGCGCTTACAAGCCATTGCAAACAAACACTGGTGGTTGTCCAACCTCAAATCTGTCAGTATTATTCCTAATGTGCACGTTGCCACAATTCTTCGACTTTGTTCTGGCTCACAAGTGGCCTCGGGCATCAGTAAAAGCGGATGCCGCGAGTTTGTTTGGTAATGGAATGACGAAGGAAAATCCTGCACTGGTTCAACAGCAAAGCGGTGTCAGATGTTGTGCCATGCCTCTCATAGCAATCCAATTGAACCAACAAGAACAAAAGCAGAGCTGCCAAATTGCCAAATACCGCATAGAAATACCAAACGAAGGAAACCATTGAGAAGGGGCATGCAAAACTTGGAGACAAAATCCGAAAGAATCCGTCGTTTTGTTCTGTTCTCATGTTTCAGCAAGGATAAGAAAAAATAATCCTTTGCATTGCGTTGCAGTTGCGTACTCAACCCAAGTTGGCTGGCAGCGCTAACATACAGCACTGGCCAAAAGTTGCGTCGTTTGGGTTTACAATGCAAATGGGTCTACATTTCATGTGTCAAACTAAAGCACCAAACAGATTAAAAGCATCAAACATGCGCGGCATCGACCCCCAAGCGAATACTTTTCGGTGGCATGACGTTTGAGCAGAACGCTCACATGGACCTATCAACCCAAAAGCTTTGTCTGTGCAGCTACCCCATGAATTGCAAAGCACGGAGTGAGAATCAGTTTTTTGACTGCGAAATGACGAAAAGTTATGGTCGAAAGTTGCCGGAGACCCCGAAAGGTTGACAAGTCGAACACTCACGAAAAGTCGAACAGTCGAAAAACCGAAAAGTCGAAAAGTCGAAAAGTCGAAAAGTCGAAAAGTCGAAAAGTCGAAGAGTCGAAAAGTCGAAAAGTCGAAAAGTCGAAAAGTCGAAAAGTCGAAAATTCGAAAAAGTCGAAAAGTCGAAAAGTCGAAAAGTCTAAAAGTCGAAAAGTCCCAAAAAGCCCCGAAAAGTCCCAAAAAGTCCCGAAAAGTCCCGAAAAGTCCTGAAAGGGAGTCCGGAGGCAAGCGACAACATGGCAAGAACTTCTGTGAGTGGCCCAAACTGTTGAACCTCCTTTTAAAACGCAACACATATTTTCTGCAGTAGGTCGGAATTCCAAGGGCGCGAGTTCCGTCTCATGGATTCCAGGACGCCGGTGGTAAGCAGGCAAACCTGAGACTCTGGCCATACCGAATCACGGCGGTCTGGATGGACATCAAATGAGTAGGCTTGCTTTTCTTGACGCGATAACTCCTCGCCGCCACAAAACCGGCGAACCCGCCTCCGTGGAGAAATGTCGTTGGTAGGAAGGAGCATGTTGAGATACTCGGCCACAGCACGCATCGCAACATTGTCTTTTGCAACCATTAAAATTTCAGCGTCACACATGTGAGCTGCTGCAGCCAGGATCAGGGAAATGGCCCTTGTCTTCCCCGCGCCAAATACACCATTGATGCCAACATCTGTGCGACCGGTGCCTGAGACCGCCACAAGGGCAAGGAGCAGGGACATTACGTGACGATCCTTATTGTTCCGCTCGGTGGCCCATGCAGCGGCAAGGCGACGTGGCAGGAAGTCCTTCAGAGATTCGCCCTCTTTCATAACTGCCCAAAAAACACGCCACAAGAATTCTTCTGTTTTGCCTCGCGAGCGACATCATAGTACTCACGGATTACAGATAGATCGTGTTCTTTGGCCGGAACACAAGGCATCTTGGGCTAATGTCCACGTAGGATGAGAAAATGCACCTGGAATAAAAACAAATGGGGGGCCCAAACTAATTAGTAAATGCACCTAGAATAAAGACAAGCACCCGCCACCCCTGCCCATGTTTATCCAGAAAAAACAAAACATAAAAAAAAGGAGAGGAAGGAAGGAGAGGAGAGATAGCCAGGCAAATTCAAAAACAATCCCAGGTGATGCTGGTGAAGCTTGCTGCTTTCTTCCCAAATCAGAACTGCAGACCTTCCCCAAACTCAAGTTTCCTTACATGTCTCTTGTTTAAAAACTGCCCACCAAACCCACAAAGGGGGTGGTACTTCAGCCCCCCAAATTTTAAGCCCAAGACTTTATTCCAGGGGCCCCTATAATAAAGTCTTGATGCGTTGGCCCTCCTGAAAAATGCAACTCCCGAATTGCAGTTACCTCTTAGCTAATTAACTGGCCAAATTCAAAAACAATCCAAGGTGATGCTGGTGAAGCTTGCTTGTTTCTTCCCAAAATCCAAACTGCAGACCTTGCCCAAACTCAAGTTTCCTTACATGTCTCTTGTTTAAAAACTGCCCACCGTCAAACCCGCAAAGGGGGTAGTACTTCAGCCCCCCAAATTTTAAGCCCGAGACTTTATTCCAGGGGCCCCTACAATAAAGTCTTGATACATTAGCCCCCCTGAAAAACGCAACTCCCTAATTGCAGTTACCTCTTAGCTAACCAGCTGGCCAATTTCAAAAACAATCCCAGGTGATGCTGGTGAAAAGCTTGCTTCTTTCTTCCCAAAATCCAAACTGCAGACCTTCCCCAAACTCAAGTTTCCTTACATGTCTCTTGTTTAAGAACTGTGCCCCCCAAATTTTAAGCCCAAGACTTTATTCCAGGGGCCCCTATAATAAAGTCTTGATGCGTTGGGCCCCCCTGAAAAATGCAACTCCCGAATTGCAGTTACCTCTTAGGAAGCTCAAAAGGAAGCTCCAGCAATACTAAATCAAATGGAAACTCAGTTCCAAATCTCAAAAGGAAGCTTAATACTAAATCAAATGGAAACTCAAGTCTGCCAAAACTAAATCAAATGGAAACTCTGTTCCAAATCTCAAAAGGAAGCTCCAGCAATACTAAATCAAATGGAAACTCAGTTCCAAATTTCAAAAGGAAGCCCCAGCAATACTCAACTTGAACTGGATCTCAAGATACTTTTCCAGGTGCCCCCATCGTTGGGGGGGTCTGGTGGCAGTATGCAATATGCATATATACAAGAGTACTTGAAAGTGTGGGCCGTAGCCATCTATTGTTACAATGATTCATCCAATTGGCGCGGATGATTTTGTCATGTGAGCAAGATGAAAAACGTTTTGTACTGACTCTGCGCGATACCTAAATGTATCGAAAAGTGATGCACAACGCTATGTACATGCGGGACGGATGTGAAACTATTGAGTTAAGGCATGTTGCACTGCTCCTAGCTTGAACCCAAACATGAACCCCCAAAAGAACAAAGCAAGTCCGAAGCGGCCGCAGTTCTTTTTACGGGATTGCTGAAAGTAGCACTGCTTCCAGGGCACTGGTGCGCCTGGAACAGGAGGTGCGTTGACCCCCGTGAAACTAAAACGGGCAAGACAATGCGTGTCCTTGCAAGTGAATGCAGTGCTTGCAGGGCGTGGCATGCGTGCCCGCGCCCAAGGTCCGGAGACTGAATGGTCCGGAGACCAGAGTTGGTCCGGAGACCTGGTCCGATTCACAACATGCCCTAAACACAAGGGAAAAGAAACCCTAAGCGTTAAGGCATGTTGCACTGCTCCTAGCTTGAACCCAAACATGAACCCCCAAAAGAACAAAGCAAGTCCGAAGCGGCCGCAGTTCTTTTTACCGGGATTGCTGAAAGTAGCACTGCTTCCAGGGCACTGGTGCGCCTGGAACAGGAGGTGCGTTGACCCCCCCTTCAGTGTTTCAGGCAACCCCGGTATAAGCGAGCCAGCTGGGCCGCCGGCCTCATCACCCCCCCTTCAGAGTGGGGTTGTACCTGGCAGGGCAAATGTCCGCGTGACAATGCACGCTTGCGGCTGTGAGCAGCCTGTTGCTCAGGGTCTGCACTTTTTTCGGTCAGAGCGGCTTGATGGCTGACGCAGCCAGTTGTTCTGGCTGACAGGGCGAAGACGGCCATTTGGTCGCAATGCATGTTGGGATGCAAATAAGGCTGGCTAAGCAGTGCTGGAGGCAGCTGCCAGGTGTTCCGGGCGCCAGGGCGCATCCATCGGACACAGCTGAATGCCTCGGCCTGACATTGCTAGGCCCGCAGGGCTGAAGCGTATGCGACTTTCGGCTGAATCGGGCCAACCGACCTCTGCTGAGATCGTCTGCCCAATCATTGCACCTTCCTGGAACGTGCGTCGGCTGCAGCAGCACATTGTGAGCGTGAGCCCAGAAGGCTGTTAACTGCACTAAAAGTTGCAACGGCCAGGAGGTCGTGAACAACTTGTTAAGGCTTGCTTCCGCCGTTGCGGAATTGTCTGTGCCTGAAGGCATGCTGAACGAGTAGTGCCCACCACCAATGTGGCTGTGCGTTGCTTGCAGTAGTGCTAACTGTGCCAGCGTCTCGAAACATGCGATGCACCGCTGTCCAGGCTTGACAAGGCAAGGCCATACGGCCCGTATGTCCCGCATGTTCCAGGTTTCGGCAAACCAAACCACTTGGGAGGATGTGATTGCCCAGCCCCCTATCCCTACCAAGTCGTCTTCGGCACACGCATCCGCGGCAGCCAGTGCTTGCAGCTGGTGTGGCCGCGCCAAGGGCTGAACGGGCGAGTGCTGAAAGCACAACGCCAGCCATGTAAGGCATTGCTGGCTTGACTTGGAAAGGCTAGTCTATGGGTTATTGGGGTCCGCGATGCGCACCCACGTGGGTTTGCTAGTGCCGGGCACCCGCGGGATGTCCTGAGGGCAGTGCGTGGTGCGACCTGAAATTTCCAAGATTTTGGAGCCCACTGTGATCCACAAGCCGGGAAGGCTATGGCTGGTTTTGAGATCCTTGTTCAAGGATGCTTGGAAGGCTGACCACATTTGAGGCGGTATCGAGTGCATCGAGCCTGGTGGGCTGTTGAGGTCCGAGTATAGTGGCGCTAGCCAGGATCTCAGATGCAGTGCAATGCTGGTGGCCCAAATGAGCAGGCCTATGCAAGGTTTCTCAGCAGTGCTTTGATCAAGGCGTCCAGCTTGGTCAGCTTAGCGGACACGAGCTGAATGGAGTCGTGGGAGAAGTTGATCTCCCAGCAATTGCGAAAGGCTGCGATTCAAGAGCGGACTCAAGAATGCATGACTGAGGTCATGA